TTTCTTGGCCTTTCATCCTACTACCGCCGCTTCATACCCAATTATGCCCACGTAGCCCAACCCTTGAATGACCTTTTGAAGAAAGACTCAGCATTTAATTGGAACCAGGAAGAGCAAAATGCATTTGAAGCTCTCAAGTCAGCGTTAATTTCCGAACCCGCTCTTGGACATTTTGATTACTCATCCCCAACCGAAATACACACTGACGCAAGCAACTACGGAATAGGAGCAGTATTAGTGCAGATACAAAAGGGAAAGGAAAGAGCCATTGCTTATGCATCCAGAACCTTAAATAAGGCAGAAAAAAATATTCAACCACAGAAAGGGAATGCCTTGCCATCATTTGGGCTATCAATAAATTCCGACCATATGTCTTTGGACAGCCGTTCACTATTGTTACAGACCACCACTCTTTGTGCTGGCTGACCAACCTCAAAGACCCATGTGGGAGGTTAGCAAGATGGGCACTTCGGCTGCAAGAGTTTGACGTCACTGTCGTGTATAAGAGCGGAAGGAAACATCAGGGCGCAGACTGCTTATCAAGAAGTCCATTAGAATACAGTGAAGATATGGAGGAAGATATTCCAAGCATAGTGACTTTGCAGAACTTTAGCGAAGAGCAGATGAATGATCAAGCTATTAGAAAAATCGCTGACAAATTACAAAGTTCTCCTAATAATTCCTTTGTAAAAATCGATAACACGCTCTACAGAAAAAATTATGATCCAATGGGGAAACCATGGCTTTTGGTGGTTCCACGCCATTTAAGGCAGGAATTACTGAAAAATTTCCATGATTCACCCACGGCTGGTCACCTCGGATTTACTAAAACCTATGACCGAATAAGAAAAAATTATTACTGGCCCGGCATGTATAGAACGGTTAGAAGGTATGTGGCACACTGTTCAGATTGTCAGAGGCGTAAACATCAGCCCCAACTCCCCTCAGGACACTTACAGCCAATACCTGTTCCTGAAGTTGCCTTTGAAAAGGTAGGAATGGATCTCCTGGGGAGATTTCCAACATCAGAAGGCGGCAACCGTTGGATTATTGTATGTACGGACTACCTAACGAAATATGCGATAACTAAAGCTCTACCCACAAGTGAATCCATGGAAGTCGCCAAATTCTTCATTGAAGATGTCATCTTAAAGCACGGCGCGCCGAGGGAATTAATCACGGATAGAGGAAGGAACTTCACATATTCAATGATAAGTGATCTAAACAACCAGTGCAGAATAACCCATCGGAAGACGACCGCCTATCACCCCCAGACAAACGGACTCACGGAGAGGTTGAATAAGACCATAGCAGACATGCTGTCCATGTATGTAGATGTCAACCATAAAGATTGGGACAGGATTCTTCCATTCGTTACATTTGCATACAACACAGCAAAACAAGAGTCTACTGGGTTCACCCCATTTTTCCTTGTACACGGGCGTGAAGCCGAGACTCCACTTGACGTGTTATTCCCCAAGTTATTGCCAGAAGACGACGATTTCATCCAAACTCTAGGGGCAAGAGCCGAAGAAGCACGAAAACTGGCACGTATCCACTCCATGAGATCTCAAGGTAGCAATAAGTTCCAAGTTCCAAATAACTTTATTAGGTGCCGCTCAAAAAGAGCAACCTAGATCATCATATTTACAATATACTGAGGGGGGTGGTTATGTACAGGGGTTCATTTACAATTATAATTTATAATGATGTCGTTGGGTCCGAATTCTCAGGTCCTTGGGGATATTTTTCTTGGGAAGGTTTTTTATGGCTTGTTTGATATTCAAGGTGGGTTTGTTTTTCCTTTTTTTCCACTTTTCGTCATTCTGGCTTAATTGATGGAGAATTTGTCTAGGTTTTAAATTTCTTATTTTCCTTTTTCCGCATTTGTAGTTTGTGGCTTCCTTAAAGGTGGGGTTTTCTAATTTTTTCGGATTTTTCGTAGAATTTAAATGATTGTCTAATAATGTAGTCATTGATGTTTTCGATATTTAGATCGTTCCTGAGGATTGTGTTCCGAACGATCCAGGGTGGAGACATGATTTTTCTGATCATTTTATTTTCGAAGACTTCTAGCTTTTTAAGGATGGTTTTATGTGCTGTTATAAAAATGGGGTGGCCATATATGAGTATTGGTCTTATTATTGATGTGTAAATGGTTCTTTTGCAATGAAGGGATAATTTGCTTTTGGGTCCTAGAAGTAGGGATAATCGGTGTTGGGCAGCTTTCGCCAAATTAATTCTGTTTTCGATGTGTTTTTTGAAGGTTAGGTGCTCGTCTAGGGTCATCCCTAGGTATCGGATGTTCTCTTTCCATTTAATATTGTCTTCGAAGACAAAAACAAGATATCCCGGCTAGGGATAATTGCGTCGATTTACATTTTTTTTTAACAGAAACAGTTATAAACATATTATACAAGAAAAAGTAATCGAAATAAAAAGAGAAACGATAATATATATTAGGAACCTGAACCTTTCAGGTTTGAAAGAAAATCATAAATATACACAGTCTAGCCATAAATTCTGTTACAAACAATTTTATAAATTAAATGATTAAGAACAAAAACTAATGGATTATAAATACATATTTTATTAGCCAATAGGACATAGATTTTAAATATATACAATCATCCAAAATGTCCTCCCTTATTTTTGACACAGGATCTCAAACGTCCGAGCCACTGATCTATGGCGGCACGCAGCTTTTCTAAGGGTATTTCTTTCATTGCTCTCACAAATGCTGATTTCAATTGATCCAAATTATGATATCTTTTAGAGCACACCTTCTCCTCTAAATATTCTCACAAACTGTAATCAAGGGGGTTTAAATCAGGGCTTCCAGAGGGCCATTCATTGGCCTTTATGAACTCCGAACATTCGTCTTCAACCATTGTTGAGTTGACTTAGCTTTGTGAGCAGGAGCTGAATCTTGTTGAAATATCCAATGTTCTCCATTAAACATTTTTCTCTATTCAGAGGCTTTACTATTTGTTCCAAAGTATCTTCTTGATAGTTTTTAGCTGTAGTTTTTACCCCTTTGGCACAGAAGTGGAGATCTGTTACACCTTGGTAGCTAACTCCCCACCAAGCCATGACAGAAGAAGGATGGTGACATTTTTCAAGTCTTCTGACTTTCAAAGAAGCTTCTAGAGAGCTACAAGCATATATCCTATCATTCTGACGATTAATCTTTTTCTCGACAGTGAAAATTTTCTCGTCTGTGAAAAGGATTCTATCATGCCACCGACATCATGCCGCGCCAACAACATTTTTGATCTAACTCTTCTAACATCTCTAAGAGCAGGGGTTATCAAATGACTTGTGCGTCGTTTGAAAGCTCTGTGTCCAAGGTCTTCGTTGATTATCCTGGAAAGGGTTCTTGAAGCTAAATTCATCTGCTTTGCGAAGTTCTTTTGTTTGCGGCGTGGATTTCGACGAAATCTTTCGCGAATGGCTTTTATAGCTGTTTGCGTTCATTGCACGCGCGGTCGACAAAATCTTTCAAGTCCTTAATAGTGCCAGCCTTGTTGAACCTAGGTAGCAATAAACATCGCTATGACGCCCATCACAGAAATATAATTTATCAGCCTGGAGATCTTGTATGGATCTTTATTCCTGTGCGTAAAGTGGGATATTCGGAAAAACTAATGAGACGTTACTTCGGCCCATACAAAGTAACCCGAAAAATATCTGATGTGACCTATGAAGTTGAAACATTCGGAAACCAGCAAGGTCGTCGTAAAACAAAAGATTTAGTTCACATTGGTAGGATGAAACCTTATTTAAACCCAGAGGACCAGGAGGACCAGCTAGAAGAGGACCCAGAAGATGACTCGACAAACATCCAGGAAGAAGACATCCCCACTGAACGAACACAACAACCACAGACCCGCGAAGAGATCTCAGGCCCTACACCCGTTCTCGAGCCTTGAGACTGAGGATGTAAGTCTCCTTCTGAGCATCGGGTCGATGCTCTTTATAGGAGGAGGCTATGTGGCGAAGAAATATTTTATTATTTAATTTAATATTATTCAATGAAAATATATTCAACAGATTATAAAAATATATTTTAATCTGTTTTTGTGAAATCATCTTAAAATATTTCTTTGCTTACTTGCTTAAGATTCTCTAGCTGTAAAATAGTTTTGGGCTGACCTGTTAATAATTGTCGACTCGTCGCTGTGACGTCATCAATAAATACTTTCACATCTTAGGATATTTCAAGGCTTGATTTCTACGCTACAATATATACAATCATCAATAGAGAGTGAGAGAGAGAGAGAGGACACATCTCTATTTTGTAGAGATTTTTTCAAAATTGAAAAACCATTTGTTTAACTTTAATAGCTGGATCTACCTCAATCTAGGGAAGTATAATCTTTGCCCTCGTTATATTTGGAGCTATATATATAGGAACTTCTTATTCCGAATAATATATTAGACTGGATATAAAATTATAATGAATATAAGATTTATGCTTCAATTTTTATGTATGGTTTCCGTGTTATTTTCCCACTGATTGGTTTTCAGATGAGCGAGCGTTGATGCACCCGCGCGCCGTCTGAAGGGAAGGTACACATGTTGCTGCTGATTGGACAGTGGTGCGCATGCGCGAGCTCGTTAGCTAAGTGTTTTCAAGTAGAAGGGATGTCAATTTTTTTAAAGTTAGAAATTAACAAATATTTTAATGCTATTTAAGACCAAAAATCGAAATATTTTCTCAAAGTTCAACATTCCCTCACATGTTTTTAATTTAGAAATGCAAAACAGATTTAGTATTTTGTTCATAACCTAAATTATTACATTGTATTTGCGAGCGTGGAGTAAGGATTCAACATGTGTGACACACACTTTCATCAAATTTGTCTGGATATCGCTAGAAGACCTACAAATGGCGTCATGCTGATTTTAATCAAAGCAACCAATTAGGTGAACTTGTCCACATCACGTGACTTGCTTCTGTATAAGACCTTGGTGATCTAGAAAAAGAATCAAGTGCCGAAATAGCTCAGTTGGGAGAGCGTTAGACTGAAGATTTAAAGGTCCCTTTTATAAGGGCATGTAGCTCAGATGGTAGATTAGCATACAAGAGGTACTGGAATCGATACCCAGCATCTCCATTTACAGCTGCCCTCCTGCAAGGTCTGCACCTCTACTCCACCAACTGTGTAAACAGCCAGGACAAGGTGACTCGAATGTAACAACTGTAAACTGAAACGAAATAAATAAAGAGAATCAGTTTCGTCCGTCCAGCTGACAAGTAGATTGTGGCGGTCGTCAGTAGAGAAGGCGATACCATATGAGACTGATACAAGAGCTGGAATTATCTTGTTTAGTAGAAATGTCTTTTGCTAGAATAGGTCAGAGTGTTTATAGAAATTCTTACCTGATAATTCTTCAACATATTCCATATAAAAATTGATTAAAATTAACCGTTTGTATACCATGAATTTATCATTATTCTTTTATTGATTTCCGAGCCAGCTTCTTTTTTGATCTGAAATAGGATATAATTCCAAATTAATTCTTCATGCAAATTTCAACATCAGATTTATATTCTTATTACTATTTGTCATCAAAATTACTTGGTCACATGCATGGAAATATTATTTCATTTCTTCACTTTATCAATTCATTCATTCTGTTTGAGATTTATTGCCATGATTATGATCTACACGGAGTCAAATTTCAACAAAACAACATCATAGAAAATTTCAAAATTTATCCAGGATTTTCTTCAACACTATGTTGATATGAATAATGGGATTTCTTTTCCCCGCTATTTTTAAAACTTCCAAATTATTCTATGAAGCATCAAGCTATTGGATTGATGGTAGTTTATATGATTTAAAATAGTTTTAGAGAAATAATGTGGTTCGTCCACAAATCTTGGAAAAAAAAAATTACAATTTAAAATAATTTACTCCATTGTTGCTAAAGACTTATTTTATTCTCAAAATACAAAAATAAGCCGTGGATAAACACGAATAAAGTCTTCAATTTTTTCAATATTATCGTTTCCACATTGACACAGAAGAAATAAATTATTGGAGGAATAATGCGCGCCCTATATATATATATGAAAAAACAATAGAAAAAAATAAAAGATAAGTGGGTCAGGTGTTGATATTAAAAATAAATAAGGCATCTCCTGACCACGAGCACATGTGCTTTTTAGATGGCAGAGCGCCATCTAGTGGAGCAAGAATAAACTAAACGTTTATTTAGCTTGTTCCGTGATATTTGGCCAACCCAATTTCTTGATAAATCAAGAAAAGTCATCCACGAACGCGTTTCGCGCTGTTGGCGCTCGTCAGCGTGGAGTAGACTGTAACCACTGCGACCAAAAAGATTTTTTGGTCCCAATGGCTTCCCGAGAAATCAAGAAATGGGTATTTAAGGCCAAATTTGCGTAAAGACGCTTAACACATGAGAAAACAACAGAAAAAAAAAAAAAAGATAAGTGGGTCAGGTGTTGATATTAAAAATAAATAAGGCATCTCCTGACCACGAGCACATGTGCTTTTTAGATGGCAGAGCGCCATCTAGTGGAGCAAGAATAAACTAAACGTTTATTTAGCTTGTTCCGTTGTTATTTATTTTTAATATCAACACCTGACCCACTTATCTTTTATTTTTTTCTATTGTTTTTTCATGTGTTAAGCGTCATTACGCAAATTTGGCCTTAAATACCCATTTCTTGATTTCTCGGGAAGCCATTGGGACCAAAAAATCTTTTTGGTCGCAGTGGTTACAGTCTACTCCACGCTGACGAGCGCCAACAGCGCGAAACGCGTTCGTGGATGACTTTTCTTGATTTATCAAGAAATTGGGTTGGCCAAATATCACGGAACAAGCTAAATAAACGTTTAGTTTATTCTTGCTCCACTAGATGGCGCTCTGCCATCTAAAAAGCACATGTGCTCGTGGTCAGGAGATGCCTTATTTATTTTTAATATATATATATATTGCTACATAGAATATAAACAAAGCACATTCCAGAATAGAATGTTTTAGAAGGTTTGAGAATAATTTAGAATAATCAGAGAAAAACTCACCTAGACTTCAACTCCCTGATTAACGCTTTGGGTTCCTGATATGGAGAAGAACACTACCAACAGCTCTTCTTGTGTAAAGTTAAGAATAGACTACAAGATAAGAAAGAAAGTTTGAAGGGTTTGGCCAACGACATCTGACGCCTGGCAAGATTAGCCTTTCCAACGTGGTCATCTGAAACACGAGATTTTCTGGCCCAACAACAATTCATTGATGCAATCGGAGACCCTGAAACTCAGAAGTTTGCCAGACTATCAAGTGCGACTACTCTACAAGAAACCCTGATCCAAGCTATGAAGCTGCCCAACAAGCCTCAAGGGAAGTTATCGCGTGGCTAGACAAGTTTAATTGGATAATATAAAAAGAGAAAAGGGGTCGCTGCTGGACCTGTGTAGCCCGTGGTCACATCTCTTCAACTTGCCCCCGAAAAGTAAAACAGCACAGTGATACAGGCTGCTGGAGATGTGGACAATATGGCCACATAAGAATAAACTGTCCGGAAAATTCTAAAACCATGCTGACGCCTTATCAAGAAGGCCATGTGTTCCACAAAGTGGATATTGTGCTCGTGCTGTAGACATATTTTGTATAATACAAGTTATAGTTCAAGAAAGCGATGAAGTAGAAGAGCAACATCGGACTGGCCAAGCTTTAAGAAAGGCTCAACGACCGAGATTTGTTGCCAGTGATAAATGGAAGGAATAATATGAAAGACCATTCTGGGAAGATGTAGCCCCGTGCAGTCCTAAAATCAAAAGTCTCTGGTCCCTCTGGAATTCTTAGACCCTGCAAGATGGTGTCTTATACAGGAAATGGGAGAGCGAGGATGGAAAGCACACATGAATCCTGGATTCATGAACAAGATTAGTAGTCCCTATCTAGCATATCCCCACAATTCAACAACAACAAAACCTTTATTAGGGACACTCGTTCCATACAGGATTCTCCCAGATGTGTAAACAGAAGTAAACATATCAGTTATCTACAGAAAGTGGAGATTAAGATCGACCTTTCTTCAAGTTGGGTCCATCTTCTGTGTTGCGCCTATTGTCTGTCCTGTTTTCCAGGATTTGTGAGAAGCCAGTGTGTGTGTAGTGAAGCTTTGTCACAGTTCGCGCTCGCTGAAGCAAAGTGTGGTCGCCACACTACTCCCCCTCCAGTAGGAACTTTCTAGCGATCCTATGCAATCTTATAGGCTTGCCAAGTTCGGGTCTTGGGAAAACATCGGTCCTTCTGATGTGAAGCAGGCTTGAGGCGGTCGATTGACACCCATGTGGATTTTTTTTTTTAATTTTCAGTTTGTAAATTTTGGGTTTCCTAAAAAGGACTTCATATGGAGCGTCGTATGGGGGAGCTAGCGGTGGCAATATCAGGTCCCGACGTAGATAGACATGGGAACATGTCTCGAGTAGTTTGGGCACGTAAACGTGGCGGTTCCCATGTGGCCTGCTTGGTGCAGGTTTCAGAGATGCCATGGCGCGCTTGAAGTCCTCCAGCCACGGTTCGGTAGGCGAGCTTGCAGAGGGGGGTCCTCGAAAAATGTTACTGGAAAGGGTAGGAGCTTCCCATAGACCAGCTCGGAGGTTGTAGTGTTAAGATCTTCCCTTAGCGCGACGAACGAATCCCTAGGAGCACCAGGGGAAGTTTCAAGGACCAGCTCGTGGAGTCGTGACAGCGGAAGGAGTCTTTCAGCTGTCTGTGGAATCTTTCTACCAGGCCGTTTGTTGCTGGGTGGTAGGGTGATGTCCTTATTCTGTTGATTCTCAGAAGCCGTGTCAACTCACCGAAAAGTGCTGATCAAACTGCCTGCCTTGGTCTGTAGTCACTTTTGCTGGCACGCCAAAACGAGATATCCAGACATTTGATACTGTTTTGGCGGTGATGTCCTGTATGGGTAGGACTTCGGGCCACCTAGTGAATCGGTCGACGCAGGTGAATATGTACCGAGAGTTTTCACTCGGTGGTAGTGGTCCGACCAGGTAAATGTGAACATGACTGAACCTTCCGTCCGGGGGACTAAACGACTGAAATGGTGTTCTTGTGTGTCTAGTGGTTTTGGAGACTTGGCAGCGGTGGCAGGCGCGAGTCTATAGTGCGCAATCCTTCTTGACGGCCGGCCAGACGTAATGGGCGGTGATCATCCATGTAGTAGCTCATACTCCGGGGTGAGACAAGTTGTGTTATGCAGAAAAAATTATGCGGCGACAGGATGCGGGTACAATTGGTCTGGGGTTTGCTGTGGAAACGTCACAGTACAGGGAAATGTTCGTTTCTGGGATTTGTACTTTTTCCAGTTGTAGTGATCTGCGGTTTTCCGATATCAAGAGGGCTTGTAGCTCCTGGTCTACTGCTTGCGCTTCGGCGAGGGATTTTGGGTCATAAGGTTGGTGATGGGAGATGGGTTCCACACGTGACAGGAAATCTGCAGGTACATTTTCACAGCCCGCGATGTGGCGGATGTCTGTTGTGAACTGCCCAATGAAATCGAGGTGTCGACATTTGCGCGGCGAGGCTTTGTCCAGATTTTGTTGGAAGGCGTAAGTGAGAGGTTTGTGGTCCGTATAGACCGGATTCCAAAAAGGTTAGAAATAGTCGATATTTCACCTTGAAATAAAATTTTGATTTTTCGTTGAAAAGAAACTCATGCGGTGTAACTTCAAGTATCGTTTTACAATCACAGGCCGCAGTGTGTTATATTGTATTATAAGTTACTTTATGTATCATATACGAACGGAAAATACGTCCAGGGTAGCCTAGTGGACATGGCATCTGCCCGGTAAGCGGAACATTGTGGGTTCGATTCCCATCCCTGGACACTTTTATTTTTCCGTTCGTCATTACTCTTCATAATTCATCCTTTCATACCTCATCCAAAAAGGTTAGAAATAGTCGATATTTCACCTTGAAATAAAATTTTGATTTTTCGTTAAAAGAAACGCATGCGGTGTAACTTCAAGTATCGTTTTACAATCTTCTTTATTATAAAACAACAAAAAATTAAATTAACAATGAAAAAATATATTTTAACATTTAACACAGAAATATTACAATATTTTCTTTAAAT